GGAGCAAATCGAGTTTTGGGCCTGCGTCAGCGCGCTGACGTCATGACGACGTCAGCGCTGCTATTAAAATTTTTTAAAAGCTGGCGCGTGCAATGCACGCGCCCGGTTTAAAAAAAATTTGACGCGCGCTACAGTAGCCGCCCAACGGCATGATTCCACGTGTCGCATGCTGGGCCATCCGATTTGCTTTTTAAAATTATCCAACGGCAGCCATTTTTTTGCGAATAAAAAAATCCAAAAAGCAACCCCCAACAACTCTATGCCACGTGGAAGCTCCTGGGCTCTCCGATTAGTTTTTTCCAGCAATCCAACGGCATACAATTTTTTGCCCAATAAAAAAATGAAAAAAAATCGGAAAAAATTTAAAAAATTACGAAAAAAATACTGAATTTTTTTTTCTATAAATACCAACCAATACTGACTTTTAACCCAAAAATCTTATCCGAAAATATTATCCAAATTAATTGTTTAAGTAAACAAAGTTGTGAAAAAAACAAAAAAATGAATAGTATTTGCCATGGCAAGCCTTGCATTGCTGGAAACACAATTTTTTTTTTGCCCTAGGACAGACACTATTCACGTGAATAGTACCCGCCCTAGGGCTCCCCTTGCCATGGCAAGGGGCTAACTGGTGGAAGCGCTCTAAAGGTTAAAATCAGTGAATGAAAAAAATATAGGGGGTGTGGGTATGTCGTAATAAAATGGGAAAAGAAGGGGCACTTGGAAATAAGAGAAGAAAGAGCTGAGAGAACAGGAGGTTTTGGTTTTTTGGTTGGTATTATCGCCAATGGCCGGGCCCGTTTGCACCTATAAAACCCGTCATTTGAAGACCCGTCACCAGACACCAGACGCAGCAGCGCTTTTCTACTTTACACCAAACTCAATACCCACCAAATTCTCTCTCTCTCTCTCTCTCTTCTCTCTCACTCAATTCATCTCCATGGATTCAGACTATGGCATTCCCAGAGAGCTCTCTGATGTTCAGAAATTCCGATCCCAATATCAACCAGAGCTTCCTCCTTGTCTGCAGGTCCCTCTCTTTACTCTTTGCTTCTTCTTTTTTCTCCTTTTATTTATTTATTTATTGGTTCCGTCGTTTGAGTTGTTTCTCAGTACTTTCATTCTTTTTCGTGTTTTTACTTGTCTAGTTGCAGATCCATTTAGGTCCAACTGAGTATTAGTACACAGAAGTAGAAGTTTGGTGGATGGAACTCCCTATGATTGAATTGAATTGAATTGAATTGAATATTTACTTTGTTACTGAAGTGGTCTGCTTGTTGCTTTGCCTAGTCGTTAACTGTTGCAGATTTGCTATTTGAAGGTTTGAATTTATAGTGATATGATCTTAGAGTTTATATCAAACCGATAATCTTAGATATGAAGTATGAACTAAACATGAAAGGGGACGGGTTTATGGCTTTTATCATACTAGTGAAGTCTAAACTCGGGAACGAGAGATATATGTTTGACTTGGTCTCTGATTGCTGTGCAATCAATAAGAACAGACATTTAAGTGTATTTGCTATGCAATCTCTGATTGACTAGAGGAGTTTTTCGTTTTCTCAACTTAATTGTTTTGATTTTTAGGATTTATCAACTATATTTAAATGGGGTGAATCTTTTACTCCCGGCGGTTGAAATTTTTACTGAGTTCATGTTTATGCATTGTCATTTCGCAGGGAGCTACTGTAAGGGTTGAATTTGGTGATACAACCACATCTCTAGATCCCACAGATGCCCACACCATTGGCCGCTACTTTCCACACACTTATGGTCAGCCTCTGGCTCACTTTCTCAGGGCAACTGCAAAAGTCCCTGGTGCTCAGGTTATTACTGAGCATCCGCCTTTTAGGTATGTGCATATGTTGCATTTTAACCAGTTGTATAATAAAATATTTTCTTGAATTGTAATGGCACCAGTAAATAATTTGTTTGCTGTTGTACTGCCAATTCTAAATCTTATCCATGATTTCCAGCAATTTCCATCTGTACTTTTTGTTGTGTGAATTTAGTGTCTGCATGCATATCTCTTTCTATCTATCTATCTATCTCTCTCTCTCTCTCTCTCTCTCTCTTTTTCTTTTCTTGCTCCCTGAGTTATCTGCCTATTATATTCCATAATGTATTAGTATTGGTTGTTTGGTGCATTGTGATGTTTTAGTTATATCTTTGGCTTGATCGATCTAAACATTTTGAGTATTTAAATTCTTTCTTTTGAACAGGGTGGGAGTTGTGTTTTGTGGGAGACAATCTCCTGGAGGACACAATGTCATATGGGGTCTCCACAACGCTCTTAAAGTTCACAACCCCAAAAGCACCTTACTTGGGTTTTTGGGTACGCTTTGTCCTTTTCTTTGGGTCTTTGTATCTATATTCTGTTGTTGTTTGCATTGGTTTTTTGTCGTGTGTATATGTGTAAAATGATTTCATTGGTTTGATGTGGAGTTTTATGGATTCATGTATATGTCACTCATCAGGGAAGTTGACATTACTTATGACGACAATTTTATTTGTTAACAGGTGGTTCTGAAGGTTTATTTGCACAAAAAACTCTTGAGATAACAGATGAAATTCTTGCAACCTACAAAAATCAAGGTATGTAGAGATACGAAGATAATTTCCTGTGTGAGGGTTTCATTTTTTAGTGTCAAAACTTATGAGCTGTGATATGATTGCGCTTGACCAGGTGGTTATGATTTGCTGGGAAGGACAAAAGATCAAATTAGAACAGTTGAGCAAGTCAATGCCACGCTAACCGCATGCAAGGATTTGAAATTGGATGGTCTTGTCATTATTGGAGGTAAGGTTGATACTTTAATATTTGGGTAGTTGGTGTATATACTTTTAAATCACATAAATTAAATTCTTAAGTTTTCTTTTCATGAAGGTGTGACATCAAATACCGATGCTGCCCAGCTTGCAGAGACATTTGCTGAAGCAAAATGCCAGACAAAGGTACTTTGCATTCTTATTGTTTACTAAATTACTTTTTATAGGCTTCTAATGTAGTTTTCTATCTTGCACCTTGTGTAACTTAACTGGCTATATGTATGTGTGGCCAGAATTTTGATCGCATCTTTCAATTTTTGTGCAGGTGGTTGGGGTTCCTGTCACTTTGAATGGAGATCTTAAAAACCAGTTTGTGGAAGCTAATGTTGGTTTTGATACAATCTGTAAGGTATGAGTAAAATGATTCTGACATTTGATCTGTAAGAGGAAGGCACTCTCTTGAGAAATCAGGAAGCTTTACCAACTTCCTTTAATAATCATCTTTCTTTTCTCTTTTTGGTGGGTTTTCTCAAGTTCCTTCAAAATTGAATGTCCTTCGTTTGGCATCATGCTCTATGTTTGTTTGCTCAGTATGATTCAAAGCATGAGAGTATGTCAGGGCATATATTTGCATAACACTGGTTGATTCCTTTCCTATTAAAAAGAAAGACTGTTTGATTGATTGGCACTAGTCACAGACTAAGCATCTATTCTTCTTTGGATTTTGATAAAATTAGTTTATGTGGTGCACATTTACAAGAATAATCTTGAAATGAATTTTCTTCTTTTTTCTTTACACAGGTCAATTCCCAGCTAATCAGCAATGTCTGCACTGATGCTCTTTCTGCAGAGAAGGTAATGTACTCATTTGACATAATTTGCTTCTCCTAAGTGAACTCGTCATTTCAGTCTCTGTTATGTTCTTTCAAGTGGTGGTATGCCATGTTGATCTTTGCACACCACAACCTTTCTTTATGGTGATCACATTATCCCATAAAGAATAATTAACTTCTGTTACACTCTGTCTTTCCAGTATTATTATTTTATTCGACTCATGGGCCGGAAGGCGTCACATGTTGCGTTGGAGTGCACCCTCCAATCCCACCCAAACTTGGTTAGCATTCTTTGTCTGGGATTGATCTAATCTAAAATTTCATTTTACCTCCAGTAGTTTTCTTGATTTCTTTTTCACAATATCAAATAATATGCTTTTTGCAGGTAATTCTTGGTGAGGAGGTGGCTGCATCAAAGCTAACTCTTTTTGACATTACAACGCAAATTTGCGATGCAGTTGAAGCCCGTGCAGCACAAGGTTCAAAATAATTTCAGTTGCTTTCTTGTCATTGTTGAGGTTCATGTTTCTGGATCCTAATTAATTTCATCTGGTTCAGACAAGAATCATGGTGTCATCCTATTACCAGAAGGACTTATTGAAAGCATTCCTGAAGTGTATGCCCTCTTGAAGGTAACTCATGCAGATATAGCTTTTCTTCTGCATCTCTCCCACACCCCCAAGTGATTCCCATTTGTTTTTGCTTTAATCAAGAAGCATTAGGCGATGTGATGGACTTTCTTTCCTTGGGAAACCAGTTTTTATTTATTTTTGCTTATTCTTAATATTTCTGGTCTATCTTTATTTATATGTTAATACTGGAGCCTTATTCATTACAGGAAATTCATGGTTTGCATAGGCAAGGAGTTTCTGCTGATAAAATTTCTTCTCAACTTTCTCCTTGGGCATCTGCGTTGTTTGAATTCTTGCCACCCTTTATCAAGAAACAGGTTCCAATTTGCATTAATACTTGTATGACTATCTGCCATGTGGTTGTTCGTCATGAATAATAGGGTCCATTTTGGGTTACAGGTGCTCCTTTTGCCTGAATCAGATGACTCTGCACAGCTATCCCAGGTAATTGGCCTTAGATATGTCTATTTTTGTGAACGGAAGTACTCATCTATAGAATCTTCATCTTTTTTCTCTCTTGCACAGATTGAGACAGAGAAACTCGTGGCGCATCTTGTAGAGGTGGAGATGAATAGACGTGTGGTATGATCTCTCTCTCTCTCTCTCTCTCTCTCTCTCTCTCTCACACACACACACACACACACACACACACACACACACACACAGAACCAACTGGACCCGCATTACATTTATTTTTATTCCTGATGATATTTTTGTATCTGCATGTCCAAATTAAAGTGATTTTTCATTTGTACTTTCCATCTTTGTTCTCTACATAGGCAGAAATTTATTCAATTAGAGTAAGTGTGAGTCTTGATTTGCTATAGGTTATTCTCTAATTTTTAGTGCTGATGCGTTTGGTTATTTGAGCAGAAAGAAGGCACATACAAGGGGAAGAAATTCAATGCAATCTGCCACTTTTTCGGTTATCAGGCTCGGGGGTCTTTACCATCAAAATTCGACTGTGACTATGCATATGTATGTTTCTGTCTAGGGCCACTTCATCTCCTAAGTCTTTGTGCTATTACTATGGTTCTTTTTAATATGATAACTGCCCTTGCAGGTTCTAGGGCACATCGGCTACCATATTCTTGCAGCTGGTTTGAATGGTTACATGGCAACTGTAACTAACTTGAGGAATCCTGTGAATAAGTGGCGATGTGGTGCTGCTCCAATTACAGTACGAATTTCTTTTGTATATATATGTTTTTTTTTTTTAATATTTTCTTACCTGTCTTTTCAGTTCCTTGAGGTTTTTTTTATTGATTTAGGAGACTGACTCCTTTGACTGCATTTGGTTGACACTGTTAGGCAATGATGACTGTTAGGCGTTGGTCTCAAAATCCTGGGACTGCTTCAATTGGAAAACCTGCTATTCATCCAGCTACTGTAGATTTGAAAGGCAAAGCATATGAGTAAGTCACGATATGGGCCTTGTTTACATGAAACCCGAGCATGGAAATCTGAGAATAGTCACCCCTGATTTCACACTGCTTTTTTGACTTTGGTCGCAGGCTGTTGAGACAAAATGCTACAAAATTCCTGCTCGATGATATCTACAGAAATCCAGGCCCTCTTCAGTTTGATGGTCCTGGTGCCGATTCTAAGGCTGTAACGCTATGTGTTGAAGACCAGGATTACATGGGGCGTATCAAGAAACTGCAGGAGTATCTTGACAAGGTACTCAAAATGCTACTCTCTCTCTCTCTCTGTCCCTTTTCCTCCTCCCTCTCTCTCCTTTTTTGTTTTTTTATTGTTTTTTTGACGCATACACATTAGGTAATTACAATGAATTATGCTAGTCCCATATAGTTGAAAATCTGAATTTGAGGATAGAAAATATAATATTTCTGCAGCTCAGTTGTTGCATTATAAGCATGGAATACTTTTTAATTTGTTGGTCTGGATTTCATGGCTGTAGTTCTCATGGATATCCCCATTCTCTTGTTTCTCTCCAGATTCGGACTATTGTAAAGCCTGGGTGCTCACAAGAGGTTCTGAAAGCAGCTTTGAGTGTGATGGCCTCTGTGACAGAAGTTCTTTCCGTTATGTCCTCATCTCCTATCAATGGCCAATCGTCCCTTTAATAGTAAACTTAATTTCTCTTCTTCAATCGAACTTCACTGGTGTTGATGCCTTTTGTACACTGAATTTTAAAATTATTTGGCATCTTCATGTCCTTTTTTCCTGGTTAGCATGCGGAAATGTAGGTTTGGGAGTGTCAAATTATGGGAATAATCAGAGTTTGTTTTCCCTTTCGATGCAACTTTTTTGCGCAAAATAATTATGAGGATTGTATTTCAAATTTTGGGAAGGATAAAATGATGTTTGTGAATTAGTAAGGTGTCAGGTTCAACTTTTGGTTCTTTACATCTGTATGATAAAGACATGTGACAGTTTTGTAGAGTTTCATTCCTCTGCCATATGAGCAAATTTTGTGTGTGTGTGTGTGTGTGATCATAGGGTTTATAGAAGATTAATTCTTGACAGATGCAAGAACTATAGAAACAAGCATGTGTTCAACATCTCAATTTAACCAAAAAAAAATAAAGATCAAACCCTTTTGGAAAATACTTCCCTCCTTTGGAAGTAGGAGCTCTTATTTTTCTGCCAATCACAGTTTGACATGTGTGTAGAGATTTATCTTTTTATGTTTTTGATAAATTGTTTTTGCGTATGTATTAAACTATGATATGCTTTTGTAACTTCCCGACCGTAGGTAGGTATAATGTGTAGGTTAAGAGCACTTCTATCCATCTATCATGGCAAAAGACAAGGGGTGGCAAGGGTTGTTCCTATTCACGTGAGTAGCGATTGCCTTAGCAATTTTTTTGTTGCTTTTCTACCTATTGCCATGGCAAAGAGCAATTACTATTCACAACAAATTAATTGTATTTTTTATACTTATAATATTAATTTGAAAAATATTTTCTGTTGTCATGTGTTCATATTTATTATAAAATTCATTTCTCAAATTTCGGATAAAAATATTTGAAGAAGATTTTCGGTTGCTACATGTCCATATTTATTATAAAATTTACATCTCAAATTTCGGATAAAATATTCAAATAAGATTTTTGGTTGTCATGTGTTCATATTTATTATAAAAGAGTGCTGCTATTTCCACCTCCTATCCTATTTCCCCATCCACCTTATCTTCCCACCCATCATATAAACATGTAAAAAACAACATCTTATCTTTCCACTCACCATTATTTCTATAACACCCTTAAATTATTAAAGTAAACTAATAGTAAAGTAACATTTTGACAACATATAAAAACAAAAACAAAAACCCTATCTCCCCCCTTCCCAACGCAGCCCCACCTCCTCAGTAACACTACACTAGCCACCGGCCCCTTCCCTACCTCTTCACCCTGCTCCACCATGGTTTGAGCAAAATCCTCAAAAAACTTAGTTATTTGTGTAGAGCTTCTTCAACCTCTACGTGAAATTGGGGTTAAGGGTCGGAAGCTGTAAGACAAAGCCACGATTAATATATTTAAAAAAAAAAGTGAATTCACCTATACACAAAAATCTTACGAATTCACCTCTAGTCTTTTATCAATTTGTCAGAGACAAATAACTAAAATAAGAAAGAATAATGCTACTCTTACCACATTTGTATACCACATTCCCATACCACCTTATATGGCAGATGAGGTGGACAACCACATCAATTAAAATTATTTAACATTATATGTTCTTTTATGATTTATTAACATTTTTATAAAAAAAACTGTTAATTAAACTTTCTTTATTAAAATACATTTCATTGATTTAATTGATGTGACATATAATATGGACATGCCACATCATGTGGTATAGAAATGTGAGATAAAAATGAGGTAAAGAAGCAGAGGAAGAGGCTTTAATCTCATACACCAAGTGAGTTCTTTTAAAAGAGAAACGATTGCATTAAAAGGGTGGATAAGGCATCCACGATACTTGATTTTGTTTTTTCTTTTCAAAATAGCAATCACTACCAACAAAAAAAAGAGACCACACAAAAGAATCTTGGAAAAAAAAAAAAAAAAAGGAGGAAACGAGGAACACAAATTCATTGTTGGAAGTTTGAATTAAATTCAAGAACCTTTGTCCCACATTGATAGAAAGTAGAAAGAGTGAGGTCCTTATAAGTGTGGAAGTGCCACACTTAGTAAATGGAAGTAGGCCAAGTGGAAGCAATTTGGGCTTCAAAATCGATTTGGGCTTTGAATATTATATAAAAATATATAATATTTAATAGTCAAAAAGATGGGCCTTGGGCCTTGGGGCACTTTCAGATTTAAAATTAATTTTTGGTTTCGAATTAATAATTTTTTATTAATTCGGATTAGTTTTATTAACTGTTTTCTAACAGTTGTGACTCTTCTGATAAGGTTTCAGAAGTTTATTTAAATCAAATAAGGCCTCATACGTTCAACACAGAAAAAGCATTCTACAAGCATTTCATATTGTCTGAGAGGAAAACAAACAACGTTCGCCAGATTCTAAGTCCGAGTGCTAGGGCTTAGAATACAGATAGTTGAATCCTGGGAGGCAGTCACCTGTAGAACTTCAAGCACCGAGAAGGGGTGAAATTACTGTCTTTAGGACATTGCATCAAATCTGCAAGCCTCTATCTCAAATTCAAGTCAGTTTTATTTATTGTTCATATACTGTATTCTGTGTTACAGATTTTTATAAATTCTGTTTATATAATTGTTTTAATCAGTCATTGATAATTGTCTTTCCAACAATCTAAAGACAGTAATATGGATTCACAATCATCAGTGACTGCGAACGGGGTGACTAAGAATCCTCATGACGAGAAGCCTGAGAAGTTCAAGGGAATTGACTTCAAGAGATGGCAACAGAAGATGCTGTTTTATCTCACAACCATGAATCTGGCACATGTTGTCAGAGAGGAGGCTCCCAAATCAGGAGAAAATCCAATGTCTAAGGAAACAATGATGACCATTGAGGCTTGGAAACAATCTGATTTCCTGTGCAGAAACTACATCCTTAACAGGCTTGATGATACTTTGTATGACATTTATTCGTCATACAATTCTGCAAAGGAAGTTTGGGAATTACTTGAGAAAAAATACAAAACAGAAGA